AAAAAAAAATAATAAAATAAAATAAAATAAAATAAAACAATTTTGAGATAATTTTATACTAATGTGTATTATCTGGTTGAAGAAATATAATAAATACTTTGATTTTAATATTGGTCAAGATATTAAAGATAAGAAAAAGTATTTTAATGAATATTGACTATGCCCTGCTTCCTGAGCCTTAGGAGAAAATAATGTTTAAAAGTTCTTGTTTCTGATTGAATTAACTTAGGGGAGTGGAACAGGTCTGTCTGTGATGAATAAAACCCAACCAAGCATAGGGAGGGGAGGTGGGGAGTAGGATGTGGGGAGCTAAGTTCCCACAGGGAGTAGGACAGCTGTGCTGAAACCTTTGCTGTTTCGGAAGAGGTATTTCAATCCAAGTACACTCCAATTTCCCCCGCACTATCAAGTCACACAATATCACTGTACCCTCCTCTTGACATGGCGTAGGACAAGAAGGGCAATCACTTCATGTCCATTGCTGGTCATGTGGATCCCAAGGGTAAAAGCCCAGAGGGAGAGGATACAGCTACTTTGAAACCAGGGGTGGGAGAACAGAGGCATGAGCAAACATGCCTACCATGTGCTCACTACCACGGGCTCACTAAACTCAGACTTCATTTCCCTTTTGAATATTGGTGTGTAAAATACCGCTACCTTAAGTGAAATAAGCCAAAGAAAGAAAGAAATACAAATAACTGCATGATTTCACGTATATGTGGAATCCAAAAATACAAAAGTCCAAGTAACAGATAGAGAAATGGTGGTTACCAGGGTCTGGAAGGAGGGGGATATGGGGAGATGTTGGTAAGGAGTATAAAGTTTTAGTTCTGAAAAATAAGTTCTGGACATCTACTTGCAACAAAGCAGCTGTAGTTAACAATATTGTATTGCATACCTGAAATTTGCTAATAGAATAGATCTTTAGTGCTCTTAACACACATATACACACACAAACACACATAATAATAACTGAATTGATGGATATGTTGATTAGCTTAATTGTGATGAATATTAAACAATATATGTCAAATCATCAAGTTGTATATCTCAAATATATACGACTTTTGGCCAGGAACATTGGCTTATGCTTGTAATCCCAGCACTTTGGGAGGCTGTGTGGGAGGACTGCTTGAGCCCAGGAGTCCAAGACCAGCATGAGCAATGTGGTGAGATCTCATGTTCTACCAAAAATTTTAAAATTAGCTGGGAGTGATGGCACATGCCTGTAGTCCCACCACCTCAGGAGTCTGAGATGGGAGGATCATTTTTAGCCCAGAAGGTTGAGACTGCACTGAGCTGTGTTCATACCACTGCACTCTAGCCTAAGCAACAGAGCAAGGCTCTTTCTCACACCTCTCATATATATATTATATATCATTATAATTTTATATATATAAATATATATTATATATAATATGTAAAATATATATTATATATTTGTATATATATTTGTGTATATATTTGTATATATAATATATATTCTATATATTATGTAATATATAAAATATATATAATATATAATATATTAATATATAATATAATAATGTATATATATATAATATATAATATATATTATATATAATAATATATATATTATATAAAGAATACCAAAACTTAAAGGTGAGCAAGGGAGAGCTGAAATCGGCTGTCTGGGAACGGCTTAAGCAGGCCTGGAAGGCATTCCATGATGAGACTTTAGTTCATACTTCTGTACATACCTCACTGCAGAGTAAATGTTCATTTGCTGAAAACAAGTCAAACGTGATTTCATTTTTCACAACCACTGGAGTCTGAAAATAATATATATATATACACATACATATTACTGCATAAGAAAAATAATGGAAAAGTAATTTAATGAAACAGTTTAAATCCATTTATGCCTGAGGTTGCAATTTTTTGAAATTTTGCAATGAGACCTTAGCAATGACCTTGAGCGGTAGAATATAAATAACTCCCTAGTGTTCCAATAATGGAACACTAGGCACCAATAGGTTGGTGCTGGAAATAGGCCACCTTGATTTCATTTCTCACAACCAGAGAAATAAGAAATAAACACATTATTCCTTAAGATAATTCTTAGAGCTATATAGGTGGTAGTAATTTAATTTAATGCCAATAAGATACAGTATTTTACTATAATAATATATATGTTATATATACAGATAATTTTTTATTTTTATTTTTTAACTTTTAAGTTCAGGGGATACATGTGCAGGTTTGTTACATAAGTAAACTTCTGTCACGGGGGTTTGTTGCACAGATTATTTTATCACCCAGGTATTAAGCCTAGTACCCATGAATTATTTTTCCTGATTCTCTCCCTCCTCCCTTCCACCCTCCAACAGGCCCCAGTGTGTGTTGGTTCTCTCTATGTGTCCATGTGTTCTCATCATTTAGCTCCCACTTATAAGTGAGAACATGCGATATTTGGTTTTCTGTTCCAGCATAAATAGACACACAAACTGAGAGATTGAAGAGTACTTTAAAACAATGGCCCCCAACATTTTTGGCACCAGGGACTGGTTTAGTGGAAGACAATTTTTCCACGAACCAAGGAGTTGGGGATGGTCTGGGCATGATTCAAGCAGATTACATGTATTGTGCATTTTATTTCTACTATTATTACTGTAGTAGGTAATGGAATTATTATACAACTCACCATAATGTAGAATCAGTGGGAGCCCTGAGTTTGTTTTCCTGCAACCAGATGGTACCATCTGGGGGTATTGGGAGACAGTGACAGATCATCAGGCATTAGATTCTCAAAAGGAGTGTACAACCTAGATTTTTCACGTGCATGCACAGTTCACAGTAGGTTTCACACTGCTATGAGAATCTAACGCTGCTGCTGATCTGACAGAAGGCGGAGCTCAGGTGATAATGCAAGTGATGTGAAGCAGCTGTGAGTACAGATGGAGCTTTGTTTGCTCGCCCACGCTCACCTCCTGCTGTGTGGTCTGGTCCCTAACAGGACACAGATTGGTACTGGTCCATGGCCCAGGGTTGGGGACCACAGCTTTAAAATCTAAATTAACCACTGAAGCTAAACCTGAAAACTTAGTTAACATCTGATATCAGGAAAAATATCTTCATCTTGGATGACAAATATTAGTCATGATAGCTTTTTTCATTTAATGATTATTGTCTATTTTATTAGTGTTAAATTTCTGAGATTGTGATAGCTTTTTAAAATTATGTTCAAGTTAATAACCTGTTACATTAAAAATTAATTTAATGGTCATTATTTAGTACATAATTAGTACACATCTAAATCAGGCGCCAATAAATAATATAATAACGAAATAAAAGTAATAGGGAAATATGAATTGTAACTTTTTAAAAAATGAGCTATAATTCATATCAAGTATACATATTTAACATGCCAAATTAACATGAAAACAGTTTTAATTCAAGAATCAGGTTTTAGGGAGGGTAACGCCATTGATTACTTTCAATCATCTATACAACTGGCATCTTGAAAAGTCAATAAAAATAAGTTAGAGAAAAATTTACCTAAAACTACCTTAAATGCTTGAATTGACCCTGCAGATCATAAATTATTAATATAGTTTCTTCTGGTTTGACTGACTGTGATGGAATGCTTCTAAAATGCCCCTATACTTCAGCAATTACCAAAGTTGATAAGCTATACATTAATAAGTATTAGATACCTGAAGTTTGAAGTATTAGTCTCAATAACCTCCTGCTGGCAAGTGGAAAGTAGAAATTAAGCTTGTAAAAGGCAACAAATATTACGGCAGAGGTCTCTACAATGACATCTTCACACTTCTACTTCCTATACCTGTACCTGAGGCAGGATAAATCTACAGACATCCTATCTATTCAATATATTCAACGCTCAAGGGTCTGGGCCACTAATTTCTAGTTCTCAGAAATAAATAGGTCTAGTAAGTTACTCTGTGATCAGAACTTGTTAACCTTCTTGTTTGGAAGGGCTCATATTTATTCTGATACCCTAAATTCAGGATTTTAAGGTATTTGATAACAGTATAATCGAGTAGCTTAGCTTCAAAATGGATTTTGAAACTTTTTTTCCTTTCTTGCTATTAGCCATAAAATGTACTTTAAGTTTCCCTCCTTTCCCACCAGGCACCCCCATGCACAGTGCTCCCTTATCTAATGATGCGCTTGCATAAAAATCCCAGGGGCTACTTTTTTTTCTTTTTTTTTTTTTTTTTTGAGATGGAGTTTCACTCTTGTTGCCTAGGCTGGAGTGCAGTGGTGCAATCTCAGCTCACCACAACCTCCACCTCCAGGGTTCAAGTGCTTCTCCTGCCTCAGGCTCCCGAATAGCTGAGATTACAGACATGCACCACCATGCCCGGCTAATTTTGTAATTTTAGTAGAGACGGTGTTTCTCCATGCTAGTCACACTGGTCTGGAACTCCCGACCTCAGGTCATCTACCCGCCTCGGTCTCCCAAAGTGCTGGGATTACAGGCGTGAGCCACCGCACCCAATCCCAAGGGGCTACTTTTGAAATAAAACAGGCATAGAGACCCAGGTGCAGAATTCTCCGCTTAAGTGGGGTTATGAACAATTAGTCTACCACTATCAGGCCAAAGTCAAGATGATATCAATGATATCAACCAGACCTGCAGATGGGCACATATTCAAGATAGCCATTGGAAGAGACTTGCAGACTTGCATCCTCCTGGGCCAGTGTTGCATGTTTTCCCCACCAAGTTTTCCCTCTTAAACTCCCTTAATTAGCCCCCAAAGTAAAAATTGCCTTTTAAGGGCATAAGCCTGGCCATTCCCCAACTTCTAGCATTTGCATAAAGTTTCTTTCCTTTCACCACATCTTGTTTCTGGTGTTCTGGCCTCTGGGCAGTGAGCAGTCAAACTTGAATCAGTTACTAATTTGGAGCCTTTTGTGAGAAATTGTGTGTTTCAAGTGACTCAGCCTGTATGCCTGGTTTCCAATGAGTGGAGCAATTACCTGCAGCAGTGTGCCAGGGATTATTTGTTAAAGCTGCCAGGCAGGGTAGGAGCCATTTGCATATGCCAGCTGCTCATGGCTAGTTGTCCTCACACCTGGGACCAGCAGTTACCAAGACTGCCTTTATCTCAGGGAATTCCCCTTCCCTTCCTTTCATGGCATCAGCTTTTGGTACCATTCTCTGTTGGTGTGAGGAAAGGAACATCTGGAAAGTCAACAGTCTTCAAGAACTGGGTAAGTCAACTGGAAAGCACCTGAAAATCCTGTCTCTGCCATCTGTGTTCTCTAGCTGTTTAGACCTAGTATAGGTCATCTGCGCTGCTGTCTTGGCCTATGTGACATCTGGACTTAACGCAGGTCACTTAAACTGTGGTGCTGTCTGCGTTTGAGACAAGGTCCCAGGACATTTCTCCAGTATCCCCTTTCAAAGCTCAGTTTGGAGTGCTCCATCCGCATCAGATCTGTTTGCGTGTGTCTGTTTAGTCTTATCCCTATCTGTGAGGGTGCTTTGGAATGGTCTCAATCCCACCAGCCAAGACCAGGTCCATCTGATTGTCAGAATGCAACAAAACAGGCTTCTCCTGTCCTCACTAGGGGAGAAACAGTTTCCAAAATCCTGGCCCCTGATTTTTTGGGGGATACTCCGGAGCGTTTATTGTATCTGTGTCAAACTTTGTGCAGAAAGAAAGCATGTGAATTACTTTTTAGTCTATCTGTGACTCCAGCTGGTTACACATTGTGGCTTGTTTGTGTGAAAATTTTAAAACTGATGGGCAAATTAAGAGCTGAGTCTTCTAAGGCGCTCTCTGTTTCTCTCTTCTCTTTTCTGCCTGTTTTGAATCTGCTGTTATTAAGTTACTGGTGTTGAGATAAAACTTATGATTTCAAAGTTATTAGGACACTTTATTTTTCTTATATAGTTCATCCAGTTTCAGCTAAAATGTAAACACTGAAACTCATTTAAAACCAAAGACAAAAGGATAAAACATGTTTTTAAAAATGAAAACTGCATTACCCAAAATTTTGGTCCACAGCTGTTACAGGATTACCTATCAGGGCAAACAAAGTTTAGCCACTTGACAGGTTCCAATTTTCTCAAAAATAGCTTGGATCCAGCTATCTTTTATAAAAGACAGTAAGTTTTTGATCCTGTCTCATGGCTAGAGTTCTGAGATTAAAGCTATTGGATCTTTGTGTGTGTGTGTGTGTGTATGTGCATGTGTTTGTGTGTGTGTATATACATGTTTAAATGTGTTTATGTATATGTACAAGTATTATGCTATTTGTTGTGTCTAACATACTACCAGACTAGCTTATGAGTAAATGAGTATTCATAAAATAAATCCAAATGCTTTTCAAGTTCATGTGAATCCCTGGTAAATAAAACTTGTTTTAAATTATTAGTATAATAAAGGCAGGCATGGTGGCTTACACCTGTAATCCCAACACCATGGGAGGCCAAGGTGGGTAGATCCCTTGAACCTAGGAGTTAAGAGACCAGCCTGGACAACATGGCAAAACTCTGTCTCTACAAAAAATAGAAAAATTAGCTGGGCATGGTGGTGTGTGTCTATGGGCCCTGCAACTTGGGAGCCAAAGGTAGAAGGACCATCTGAGCCCAGGTGTTGAGGCTGCCATGAGCTGTGATCATGCCACTGCACTGCAGCCTGGGCAAGAGTGAGTGAGACCCTGTCTCAAAAATATGTATATTAGTAAAATAAAAATAAAAATGTCTTCAGAATCATCAGCATACATTTTTGTCTAGAGAAGTTTTATGTTTGCCTCTGCTAGTTATTTTAAGGTGTCAGTTTGGCACAAATATTGTGAGACTATCAACTCAGCCAAAACCAAAATAATTGTTGTTTGTGTGACTTTTTTTTAAACAAGTAAGACTAAATATTGTTGTTTCAATAAAAATGGCTGAAATCTTTTGAGTTATCAGCAAAATGTCCATGTATTTCACTTTAAGATTGTTATTGAGGTGAATACCTGATGTTCACAGACTTGATAAATGGTTAGCAATAAAATAACTTTAAATAATGACTACCTTTGTTTAGTATCTCAGCTTTCAAAAGTAATCTATTATACACTGTTAAAAAGAAAAAAATGAGTACATATAAATGAGATAAATGCTTGTAGGAAGACTTCTTGTGTAATTTAAAATCTTAAAATTATGTTGGATGCTCATTGGATATCTGAGTTTTTCCAACTAAAAAAAGTGCTTAATATAAGAAATACATATTTCTAAAGTTTGTAAAATGGTTTCATTAATAAAATACTAACACCTGATAAACAGTTCAGAATTTCTTGCTGCTTAGGTTTTCATGAAAATTTAACATTACTAAAAATATAAATTTCAGCTAATATATAATTCTATAAATTGTGTTCTTTTTTAAAAATAATTTTATATAATTCAGGGGTTATTTAAAAGTCTTTTATTTAAAAAGGTGGCGTATATGGTTTTGCTTTGTCCCCACCCAAACCTAATGTTGAATTGTAATTCCAAATGTTGCTAGAGGAGCCTGGTGGAAGGTGATTGGATCATGGGGTCAGATTTCTTCCTTATGGTTCTCATGACAGTGAGTGAGTTCTCCGACATCTGATGCTTTAAAAGTGTATGCATTTCCCCTTTACTCTCTCTCTCCTGTCACCATGTGAAGAAGTGCTTGCTTCCCCTTCACCTTCTGCCATGATTGTAAGTTTCCTGAGGCCTTCCCACCCATGCCTCCTGTACAGCCTATGGAACTGTGAGTCAATTAAACCTCTTTTCTCTATAAATTACCCAGTCTCAGATACGTATTTATAATAGTGTGAGAAGGGACTAATACAATGTCTGGACATAGTGGCTGATGTTTGTAATCCTAGCAATTTGGGAGGCCAAGGCAGGAGGATCACTTAAGTGCAGGAGTTTAATACCAGCCTAAGGAACATAGTGAGAGCTTATCTCTAAAAAAAAGTAAAATAAAATAAAGTTTAAAAAAGTTAATAAAAAGAGAGATTTATATAAATATAAAAATATATTTTTGGTTAAAGAAAGTTATAAAAATAATAATTTTATATAAAAAAAACTTAGATGATAAATTTCTGGCCTAAAATAAAATGACTTATTATTTAAAAAAGAAAAACACATAAAACAAGAAAGTCCAAACATGTCATATTTGGTCTGTGTAAGTTGTGATAATGTTCATAAAGAGAAATTTATTTTTAAAACTTTGTGATAAAGTTGATTATATATATTTTTTAATTGTTCACTAGAGTCCTTCTAAAATTGGACCCCTATGTTAAAGAAAGGTTTTCTTAAGGTATTTATTTGCTCTCAATAAAATTACTATAAGTTTTTATTTAAATTCTATTATTTGTTTCTTTTAAAATCTTATCAGAATCACATCTCAAAAATTCAACTTTGTTGTGTTTTGCTGCTTTCGATTCTTTCTCCCCTTCAGAAGGACTGAGATGATAACTCTCTCCTTCAGCTTTTTCATCGGATCCTGTAACATTTTTATCTGGTTCGGGTTGTTATTGTGGCCTGATGCTAAAATGTTTTATCTTAAAAATAAAATAAAAATAATAAAATAAAGTATAAAATAAAAGCAATGTTTTCCAATACTATAACTTGAATCTGTACTCTTGGCTTTTCTTAATATGCTTAAATTTTTCAATGAAATCAGAAAACTTCTCATGCATTTACTAAACATTATGTATTCCCTTACCATACCCATAACCTTGAAAACACTCTTCCTGTGTTTGATTCAGTTCAAGTACTTTTTTTCATCATGTTTGACGTCCAGGTTATCTAAATGGGCTTTCATTAAGGAAAATCAGTCACACTGAAAAACATTTCTCTTTGCCTCTTTGGCAACTGACTTTAAAAAAAAACAAGATTTTATATTTTATCAAGATGATTTCTATATTATTATTATTAGGTTTTGTTTTCTTAAAACCCTAAGATTAAAAAGAGTTAAGGTTTTTACATCCATATAACCTTATACATTGCCTTTCAAGTCTTTTTACTATCATACCTGTGATTCTGTTTTTTCATATGCTTAGTTTTTGTTTTTTGTTTTTAGACAGGGTCTAGCTCTGTTGCCCAGGCTGGAGTGCAATGGTGCAATCTCGGCTCACTGCAAACTCTGCCTCCCAGGTTGAAGTGATTTTCATGCCTCAGCCTCCTGGGTAGCTGTTATTACAGATATGCATTACCATGCCCAGACAATTTTTGTATTTTTAGTAGAGATGGAATTTCCCCATGTTGGCCAGGCTGGTCTTGAACTCTTGGCCTCAAATGATCCCCCTGCCTCAGTCTTTCAAAGTAAGTTCTCAAAGTGCTGGGATTACAAGCATGAGCCACCATACCTAGACTGTGATTCTGTTGTGATCAAATGTTTTTAGCCCTTTAACATCTTTGACAAACAACATCAGAAGTTAAATTCTTCTAAACTAAGTCTCTGATTTGTTGCTGAAACTTATCAGAAGTATAAAAATTAATTACTACAGGTTGTGAAATATTTTCACAACTTCCAGTCAGGTCATGGACTCTAGCATTACTACCTTCACCCCACTGAAAGTTTTCTTAGTAGGTGCTATTAATTAATTCTTCTGCTGTTAAGTTACAGAGTCTTGACTCCTGGGCACACAGATACCTTAAAAGCTGATGGCTCAACACATAAAAACAAGTCAATTTTGTAACCTTGCTGTTTGACTTTTAGTTTTGGGCTCTTCTATTACTAAAAGGGCTCTAATAGTTAATAAACACCTGCCCACCTTCATTTCTATCTTGCCTAAAATGGTTAATTGGCTATGAGTCTTTTGACTCTAAGTCTCTTGGCCATAGGGGTGCCACCAAGTAACATGATGGCCTGGCACACGTAGCCACACCAGCCTGACATTGACATGAGCCAAAATAAAACCTTGACCATTGATACTGCCTCTGGCATATCTTACTCAAAAAGGGATGGGGGGACACTGGGGGAATATATATTAAAAACTAAAATCCTAAAGCCTCCCCCACTTACTGGGCAGATCCACCTCCTTGACCAAGGGAGTCTCAGGAAAAAACTTTTCTACTTATCCAAATTTACAACATCATCATCTTGTGAATTCATACCCTTTATTTATATATAATGTCAACCATGTACTTATATTGATCAGACTGAATATTGTTAGTAACTTATAAATATTAAGTACATTACATAAATATCACAGAACTTACATTCTTCATGTCAATGTTATCTAAT